TTCATGTTAATTGACGACAATTGCAGACAACATCTTGCTAACTTGGTGAATGATTTCCTTTTAAGGAAGGGATCACAGTAACGGATTGGCCAGCGTGTTCTCCAGGAATGGACCCACTCGAACATGTTTGGGACATTCTAGGCTGACGAATTGCTGGACGCTTACCACCCCTACAAACTCTTCGAGAGCTGAAAAGAGCTCTTCTGGAGGAGTGGGACAGAATACTCCAGCCATTCATTAATAACCTCATCAACTCGATCCTGCAAAGGTGTTCAACGTTGCTGACTGTCCAGGGAAACTATACCTCCCTACTAAAAACAATTTTCTTTTAAGGAAATACCTTTTTTTATTTGCCCTTCTCATATGCACAAATTGTGCTTTTTTCCTTTTGTGCCCAAATGCTCAATAAAACTTTTTTTTCTTCTGAAAACAAATGTCATTTTTATCTCATATAGCCTACTACCTCTGTCGATAATGTATCAATCATTCAAACAATTCTTCAGGTGCAAGATCAACCCACAACCTCAGTACCCATTAATTGTTTTGAGCAGTGTATTTTGGCGCTATATAAATTTCCGGCTACTTTAAAATTTTAAAAATATCAATTATTTCCTTTGCAAGAAATTATTACTTTAAAGGGTGATAACATTTTTGAATACTCTTATTGTTTTTGTAGTAAATATTATATCTTTGTCAATTTCTAAAAAAATCTTCAAAAAAAAAGATTGCATTATTCTTTTTATCAAGATTGATTTACTAGAGAACATCACTAAAATAAAACAGGTTATGTTTTCTTACAATAAAAGTTAAATAGAATTAAATCTTTAAAATATTGTTCCAATAAAAAATGCTATTAAAATGTTACATTATTTTTTGTTAATGTTTCATTAAAAAATATTTTCATTTCTTCACAAATACAATTCCTGTAAAAAAAAATTTAAAGCATGCTCACTATATTTTTAAGAAATAATTATAGCTTGATTCAATTTAAGAACATAGCAAAAGCATCTTTTCTCTAGTTTTTACTTGGTAATCTCATGTTTGAGTGAATGCTATGAGCAAGTTACAAACGAAGTTACAGACTCACAAGTATGTTAATTAGTTAGTTCGATTTCAAGTACAACAATTAAAAAGTGTGGTATTGCCCAATAACCACTTTAGTAAAACAAATAACAGAATTTAAAGAGTGAATTTTCAGTTCTGGATTAAAAAATCCAATTATTTATATCAAGTGAATTAAATCCGTTAGATTAAAAACTAAAATCTTTTAAATATAGTTATGCATTTTATCAAACATAAATACAGTGTATTTGAAAAGTGATCCAAAAAGAAATTAATGACTTATTTTACAACAATTTATTCATCGCACACTTGAAAATTATTGAAAAAATGAACTTTTCCAACGATAAACACACCTGTGTAAGCGTTTATTAATTTATTTACCATAGCTGCCAACATGGGCAGGAAGACATCCAGTATAATTTATGAAATAATATAAATTTCTTGATAATTGCTACAAAATGTACTAAATGTTTTACGCATAGGGAATTTCAGGGATTTTCATAAACATCAAAATAAAGAAAATGCAAAATTTTCCAGTTATGATTAAGATTAAATGAACTTGAAATGCTATGTACAGGGTTATCACTCTTTCAATAAAGCAAAAATTAAGCATTTTTAAGGACTTTTTTGAAAAATTGTGGATTGTTTAAATTAATGCCATTCAGATTGTAGTTAACGCATAAAATAAATTGCATTCTATTTTTAATGATTTCATTGAAATCGTATTCTAAAATTAAGTGCAGAAATTAAGATTTGCAATTTTTTCATGTATATTTAAAAAAAAAAAAGAGTAAATAAAGAAATTTGACTAAAACATTGAAAAAATTATTTCAAGAAATTTTTATATTTCCCTACTAGACCAGCAAATGTGTTAGATTTACTTTTATGATGAACTTAAACAAAATCATTTCCAGCCAAATCTGTTATTAGGAATTAATTTTACAAAATGTAACTAAACATTTTGGCGAACTAATTTTAAAGCAACCAAATATTTGAACAAAAAATTTAAAAACAGTATATTAAGTTGCAATATTAACTGAATAAAATTACTATTAAAATCTAAGGATCTTTTAGTTGAGGGGATTTAAATTTTTATGTAACAATCTGCTTATCCTTAAGAAATAAAAATAATAGCGTAACAATCTAAAACTTTAAAAAATTATTTTTGACACCGAATCTTGATGTTTAAAAGGTCACGACTTAACCACATTTTTTTCTTTTTCCCTTGGTTTGTTAAAGCTACTAGATAAGTTTCTTCCGAAGGAAGTGAGTCTCCGTGCTCCACGCACTAGACTCTTGTGTAATTATGACTATGTTATCTAATCATTTGTACTTCATTCATGTGTTACAATCGTCAAATAAATATGTTTCTGTCCTTCAGAACTTCAGAACTTCTGTCCTTCAGAAAGGAACTCTGTTCTTTCCTGCGTTCTGCTATTTATTTAATGATGCTGTCAGGTAAAGAAGTCCCATACCTGCACACCAGTAAACATCATTTTACAGCTCAAAATGTCATTGTTAAATAACAAATTATCCAGCTATAAATATCTTAAAATAGCTGATAGCAATTAAACAAGATAATGAGAACCTTCAAATTACAGAAATTTTTCATCATTTCATTTTTTACCAAAATTATAAAATTTCATAAGAGTTCTAAACAAACCGAATAACTACATAATACATAGGATGTCGATTACCTTAATAATTTGCAACACTACCTACTTCATACAATGAAAATACAGTAGAATTCAGATTTAAAGTCACCCATTAATATTGATTTCCCTTTTTTAACCTCTTTCCAACTTCCTTTTCATTTCCTGTATCAATAATATAAAATAAAAAAAATGCCAGTATTTAGAGGGCCCAGTAACACTATTTCCATGAAATATTGATGTTCCAAGCACGTCTAATGCCAAGGCTTGTACAATTTGCAATATACAAAAAAAATTTTGCTAGAATCCTTAAACTTAATATCGTCAAGCTGAAAAAAAGTTTTTAAGTTTCAAAAGACTGTATCGTTAATGGTTTCGAAAAAGATCGTTTCACCTCAATTCTAACCCAAAAGAATACCGACAGCATTTCAGTTCAGAGCCTGATACTGACTTTGTGGAGTATTCCAATAGGATAACGATCTGATGATTTGTGAATTGAAGGCAATTTCAATAACTGAAATTAAGGGATCTGAAGAAGACTGTGAATCGTCAGATTCAAGACCGTCATTCAATGAATCAGCAATAGTGCTGTAGAGACAGAAATTTTTTTTACACAAGCATAAAGAACGAGAGAAATGAATACCTTGGGGTAGTTGGAAAATTCTCTTTGTGTTTCATGACAAAAAGAGAATACACAAACAAAAATATCAGATTTTTTTTCAATAAAATAATGTTTTTCTTCCTTAAGAAATAAATTATTTTCAGATAATATTTAGGTAATTAGCAAAATATAATTTAATTTGTACAGTTTTAAATTTTTGTTTTCAAGGGAGCTTTCATATCCCCATTTTCTCATTAAATTCTGAAAATTGAGAAGTATTTTTATAAAAATGTTATATAGTATAGGAATTTAATTTTAATATCAGAATATGATAAATGCCCTTTTGACAAATGGGTATCATGATAATTCAATTGCACTACTGACTCAGATAGAGATAGTTTCTTTAAACTCTTTCTAATATCATATAATCTTTTTTTAATTTTATCTTTTTTTAATAAACAACTTAATCTTTCAAAAGCAGCTTGTTAACCTTTTTTTAGATGAATTTACATTCCTGCAAGCTTTTTAAGACTTTCTCCCCATACCACTTGCACTACAATATTATATTTTTTTTGTGCAGGTAACATAACATGCTTCCTTTTAACAAAAGTAGAAGCCATCATGGTCAATCAAAACTATATGAATAATAATGGAAAGACTGCTGAAGTAACAAAACCTGAAACTCTTTGATATCTTTAGGAACACCATTGCAACCAATTTTACTAAATAACAAAACCTTTAATTGTTTAAATAGAAAAAATTTTAATTGAAATCCTCTTTTATAGTTAAATTATAAAGGCATATTATTAAAACATAAAAAAGAATAAAACTAACTGTCGGATAGCTGAGTGGTTAAGCCATTGAACTGTGATCAAGAACTGGGGATCAATCCTCAATAGTGGATTGAAACCCAACTAGCTTCAGATTGGTGTTTACCAACTTGCCTGGAAAGTAAAGGCAGCTAGTGAGCAGTTGTGACCACATTGCAACAATCATGTGGCCACGAAATTGTAGAGTTTTAACCACTATGACCCCTTTGCACAATAATGGGTTGTTGGGGGAATGCTTTACTCTGCTCTGAAAAATAAAAAAAACTAGGATTCTGTTTTTGTTAACAGGAATATGAGTAACAAAGTTTTTAATGCATATTCTTCTATATATGAAATACATTCTAGAACATAAAAGGGGAAAAAAACTTTCAAAAATCTAATTTTTTATTGCTGTTAACTGAAAAAAATAAACACATGCCTCAACACTAAGAAGTATTTATTCAGCATTATTATTTTCTTTTTTTTAAAAGTAACTATATTGTTGTAATATGTAACATTCATTCTTTTTGGGCTAATTCAAAAAGTTTTGTTATTCGTAAAAAACAGAATGGAAGATTTAAGCACTATTTTTTATAAAGGAACAAATTTTTTTAGATAAATTTTTATTATTATTATTATTTTATTGTGAATGCGTCTCAAGCCAAATTTGCTATGTATCATATCAAATATTTATCTTTTTTCATGCACAGTATCTCTCAGACATAGAATGTATCTCTTAAAGCTATTATTTAGAGGGAAAAAAGGCAGTATGCAGAAAATTAATTTTTAGTATTAAACATATTAATAAACACACAGTTTGGATTTCTGCATGAGATTCAGCATTCACAATAATAATATCTAAAAAACAAACCTTACCTCATCAAAATTGTATTTTACATCACGGTTTGAAAAATAATCATCAGGATGAGAGTTAGAGGAGATGCGACTAGAGTAAAATTCACATTGCATCATATCAAAAAATATTGGAATAGTAGCTTTCCTCAGTTCCATTTCCGGAATCAAGGTCATTTCCAGAAAGGGACCCACCATTCCAGGCACAAAATGAATCTGGTGTTGTCCTAAAATGAAAATACCCGATCCAATATAAATCACCATAACTGCTAACATACACTGAAAAAAGAATCTAACTCATAAAAATTTTATAAGACTATTGAGTAAAATATAAACTATTCCACGCATATGGAACTTTTTAGAATCAGTAAAGGGAAATACGATGCAAAAACACTGTGTGGATTAGATCTCACAGGTGTATAAGATGTCAAACTAAACAGCCACTTAAAAAGTCATCCTAAGTATGGTTTTTCTTCATTCAAGCATCTATCTTTTCCTCGGTTTTTAAGCAGTTACTAACTCTTTGAAGATCATCTAAGTTATTGATATCTATGCAAATTAGCTTTAGTTACAAGTATTTAATGAGTAATGTTGCTTCTAACTTCACTACTTGAGCTTCAGAGGCTACTATGAGACTAGTTATGTACAAGCTTACCTTTCCTTGTTTAATTTAGGATTTTAGCCGTATGTACTTTTCCTATGACTTATAGAATATATTTGCTTTTAAGAGTCCTCTTCATTCTACTAACCATCTCATAACATTCCAATAGCTACCATTTTAAATTGTCTACAACTTTTTCCGTTAGTTTTGGTTAGTAAAATTATTACCTTTATTATATTCTAAAATTCACAACTGTGAATTTATTATGAATAAAAACTTTTTAGACAGTAGTTATAGAATAATAAATAATTTAAATTTTCCAAAAATGTACAAAAATCAGGAAATTTTTAGATTAAGTGAGCAGAACATGAGAAACTGGCCGAATCCAGAACAGTACATACATAGGGACCTGGAGCTTGAGTGCTCCAGGGCTGTGTATTTCCCGGAGCTGGATCTCTAAATTTTCTTATGCTCCTGTAATTTCATTGTATCCTAAAAACATCTTCATGTTTCAAATGTTTTTTTTTCTTAAAAAAACCATTTGGTTTGAATTGAGGTTTAACCCAAATTTGTTACTAACCCTGTTTTAATCTGTATTTTATCATGATAGTTAATTAAATAAATGTTTTTTGTCATTTAAGTTTTAAATAAGTTCAAGACAAAATTTTTGAGAAAAATAACTAATAAATTATAAACCATTACATTATAAATGTCTGGAAACTTGCTTATCTTATTTACTGCGATTTGATTAAATGACATTTTTGGAACAAAAATACCAATTTGAAATTATTTGTTTTAATAAAAAAATAAATACTAATATTGTTTAGATCAAAACTATAACTAAAATAACAATAACTTGCAGAGTATTGTTACCCCAACAGTATTTACACACATAGATTATAACATTTTTATAATGGTTATAAATGATTTTTCTAATAACTCTGCCAACATACTATTTATTTAGCTGAAGCCTTTTCTGAGTTCTAATCCCATAAAAAATTAATCGTTACTGGGACTAACTTTCGGTCTTTTACTCAATGCAATTGATTTAATAAAATAGCTGTTTATCTGTTGAATCAGAAAAGTTTGAATCAAATTGGATGCAAAACACAAAATGGAAATGCTAGCTAACACAATTCACATCAAATTTCAAGAATTAATGAGACATTTAAATTAAGAGTTTATTGCGTGTAAAAGCATCAATAAACTTAAAAAATATTTTTATTTAAACAAAGAAAATCAAAAAACAATTTTTCAAATAGTTTTTTTTACTCACCAAGATTGAACCACATAGCCCTAATTTCAAATGCAGTTTCTCGACGCATATCCTTATATCTGAATAAAGAAAATAGAGAATAAATTTATTAGAACCATAGAATTAAATACAATATAAAATTGTGTGTGAAATACAGATATTTATAGTATATGCTTCATGTACCCCAATGCCAAATGAAATATAATTAGGACTGCTTAAAATACTCTGATTGTCCAGTTCTTACCAAGGGGCATTTAGTTACAGTACAAAATTTGTACAATATCTTAAAGGAAAAAATAATTAGAAAAATTATAACAAATGAAAATAGAAAAAAAAGGAGTATGTCTTTTCCGTCCTATGTGCAAGAAAGACATCGTTCGTATATAATTCTGGAGGAAAATAAATAAATAAATCTTTCAAAAATTTCTGGAGAAAAGAAAATTTTTTACTTCATTATTTCTTGTTTTTTATTATTTTCAAATGAGAAAAGAAAAGTCATGAGCATTTCTTCCTGATTGTGAATAAGGCATCTTTTGAATATAATTCTGAGGAGAAAAAAAACCTTCCCAAAGGAGAAATCTTTCTGTAAAATCTCTGTAATGTTCCGTGACAATGTCACCATAATTCTGGCACAGGATTATTAATGCTATATAGAGTTAAACTTGGGTTTCGACATTTTGTTAAACATTAATTGAAATCAGATGGAAAAACACATGTAACACAATCTTATTCCTCTTTATGTTGTGCGATTTTATTTCTCCTCCACTCCAGTTAAGCATGAATTGGCAAGCACACACAGACACTGACGTACTAAAATGAGTTCATGTTCTACCCATAGAGGAGATATTAGGATAGAAATAGCCAGTCTATAGTTTGGTCTCTGAAAACTTGTTTAATGATGAACTGGTAAGAGGGTTACCTTTTTGGCGAAACATTTTTAGCTGGCGGTCAAATTGTACAAGAATATTTTGTCACTCTTATGACTGCTGGTCATGAAATTATAGCAGATCCTACACAATCTAAATTTTTTTTCTCATAAATATTGAGAAGATTTTTAGAACATGTTTTCTTAATATATATATACATCCCCTACAGTTGTGGCCTGTCATATAAATAATGTGGTTATAATTAATTTTAATCAATGGTTAAAATTTTATTGACATTACGTATAACAATAAAAAAAATTAAGCAACATGACAATTAAAGTAGCAATTTTTTTTATTTAAATATATAGATAAAAAAATTTTGATATTTTAAGTGATTATTATTTAGATATATTTTCTTATTTAAATATACATACACAGATAATATATATGTACATCCATCCCTACGCAGATAAACAATTCATCTTCTGCTTAACATCTTTATTTTTTAGTGTTATTCTCTGACATTTATTATTAATTTGATATTTATTTATTATTTATCTGATAGTATTCTCCGATTGTTTCCTGATGAAAACAAAATATTTGGTTTTATTTTAAAATTAAATATTAATCTTGATAAATGCTCTACAATTTGTGGTTGCAATAATTATTTATTTTAACCAATGCATAGGATTTAAATTTTAGTGAGTTACTGTAAAATAATAAAAGTATTTAAACAAAAATAACAAATTTTAGTTTTGTTATTTGTCTCTTTATTTAAATTAGTATTACAAAATTCCGTATAAGGGTATACTATGTACCTGTTGTTTGACATATTGATAGTTCTTAATTAACATTTAATATAAAAACAATTATTGATAATCAAAAAGAAAAATATTTCCTTTTCATGTTCAAAAATGAAAATAAAATATGTCTAATAATAATAAATAGCCACACCTTTGACAACCTATTTTTAATGAAACACAGCTGCGTAAATCTAGTTTTAGTCAGCTAATATTTTCCTGAGTAATAAATGTACCGTAATAAATATAAATATAAAATTTCCTAAATTAATATGAATATTCAAACAATAGTTCTATGTAATAAAATAATTTTCTAAGTGACACAAAAATAAATACTTTTCTGCTTATAAATTTTATTTAATGATAAAATTAATTAAAAGTTGATTTTATTTTTGATCCAAAAATTTATTCATTGCATTAAAGTGCAAATTAAAATATCCAATTAAATTCACCTNTGGATAAACTATTCATCTTCTTTATTTTTTTGTGTTATTCTCCGGTATTTATTTATTATTAATTTTATATTTATTTATTATTTATCTGATAGTATTCTCTGATTGTTTTCTAATAAAAACAAAATATTTTGTTTTATTTTAAAATTAAATATTAATCTTGATACGTGCTCTACAATTTGTGGTCGCAATAATTATTTGTTTTAATCAATGCATAGGAATTAAATTTTAGTCAGTTACTGTAAAATGATAAAAGCATTTAAACAAAAATAAAAAATTTTAGTTTTGTTATTAGTCTCTTTATTTAAATTAGTATTACGAAATTCCATATAAGATTATATTATGTACCTGTTGTTTGACATATTGACAGTTCTCAATTTAATTAACATTTAATATAAAAAGATTAATTGAAAATCAAAAAAGAGAAATATTTCCTTTTTATGTTTAAAAATGTAAATAAAATATATATTGTTAATAATAAATAGCCACATCTTTGACAACCTATTTTTAAGAAAACACAATCCTGTAAATTTAGTTTTAGTCAGTTAATATTTTCCGGAATAACAAAATTTCCTAAATAAACATGAATATTCAAACAGTTGTTTCTACATAATAAAATAATTTTCTAAGTAATAAAAAAAAATATTCCCCTGCTTATAAATTTTCTTTAATGACAAAATTTATAAAAAGATGATTTTATTTTTGATCCAAAAATTTATTAATTATATTAAAGGACAAAGTAAAATATCGAATTTTCCCTTGAAATAATTTTAAAAAATTATTTTCACAGCATCAATAAAAATGAAAGAGCCAAAATAAAAAGCGACTTGTTTACAAAATATAGGCATAAAAATAATGCCCCAAATCCAATGCACGCGTTTCTTCAAAAAAGCATAAAAATATCCAAAATTTTATATCAGTATGAAATTGAATTGTGATTAAAATACCTAAATATATTAATTACATTATAGTCTTTCAATTTAAATAAACATATAATAAAAATAGTAGCTATTTCACAAGTATAAAACCAATTAAATTCATTCTATTACTTTTCGTGCTAACATAAATTGCAAATAAATGTCTAAAAATAAATATATATCCTATTTGCAAAATGTAAAAGGCCTCCTTTTATGAATTTTTTTTTCAAAATTGAAAAAAAATTCGTAATATATGTTCAAAACATTGCTCCGCAGTCCACCTCCATAGTAAAAGACTGGGGATAGGGTTAATTTGAGGAAAAATCGTCCTTGAATAACATGACAACGTTCTTTGCAATGAGGGAAGGGGAACTGGTTCTCTGTATGTAAATCACTCTTCTAAGGTTCTACCATGTTCTGCCCCTCCTCACACCCCAATCAAAATGAATTCATTGAAAAACAGGTGCAGTTGCAATACTTGACCTTGAGTCATTATTCTGTTTCCTTAGCAGTCACAATGTTTAAAGGAGAAACAGCAGAACTAGCAGATGATTTTAAAAAATAAGAAAAAGTAGGAAATAACAGGAAAAAAGGAGGGGTGCCAAAATAATAGGAAAAGTAGAAGAAACAGGAGGTTTGCAGTCCCAGCACATTGTTTATTTTAACTTAAAATCAAAAATAAATTTCAATGTGGTAGTTTTTGTTACAAAATTACTGAGAAAAAACGCTTACCTTAAAACAATTTTGTTTCTTTTATTTTGAGAAAAATTTTCCAATTGTAGAGCATTCTGAGTAAGAAAAGCTATGGCACAGTGAAAAAAATTATTCCAAACCTAGCAAAATATTTAAAAACACATAAAATTAAACACTGTCACTAAACATACGAAAATTAAAAATCTCTGACAACTAAAATAATTAAAAACTAACCTGAATTTCAAATGGATTTTGGAAACGGTCCCTTATTGTCACAGAGAAATGTCGCAAAGCTTTCAATATAACACTAGAAAAAAGAAAGTTATTTAAGAACAAGACAAAATCAAAAGGCACAACAGAAAAATTTCAAATAAAATATTAGGGTGGTGTTATATGAGCAATTATATTAGTTATATAACATATTAACATCTTTTATTTTGGGTTTAATGTTATTATACTTTTTACCATTTAAATAACAAAACATGAAGAAATTGCATGAAAAGTTGTTTACTTTCTGATTTTTATTAACAATGCACAGAAGTAAAAAAAAACACAATTTTAAAGAAAAAAAGCTTTAACAAAAATTACAATAAATACAAAGAATTCTAAAAGCTAAAATAGTAGCTTAATATCAAAAAACTATATATATTACGTTCATGCAAAAACACATTTGGCAGAAAAAAACAATGTGTGTGTGCATGTGTAAATACGTTACAGTGAATGACGGAAATCAAGAGAATGTCAACTTGGTGAATGTCTGAGATATTTGTTATATCCAATTTGATATTAATTTATTCGTTGATATTATTATATTCATTCGATATTTTAATACCCACTGAGGATAGATTAGGAGAAACATCAGTGTTTGGATAACCGGTTAAACGCATACTGGGTAGTGGCACTTGATCTTAAAAAACATTGATGTAGGACATACTGGGCAGTGGCACTTAATTAGACCTATATATTTCGGGCATTTACCAAAGCGACTATGTGATTGTCAACATTCACCGGTGGAAGTCAACAACTACCAATTTTGGCTATTCACAGTAACATATATATATAACAATACTTAAAAAGAAATGAAAACACAACCTGTTTTGCAACATAATCATCTCATTCCAATCAGATGGATACACTGACTTGCTTACTAAATCTCGAAATACTAACAAAATTTCCATAATAAATTCAAGGNTAGTGGCACTTGATCTTAAAAATCATTGATGTAGGACATACTAGGCAATGGCACTTAACTAGACCTAGTATATATTTCGGGCATTTACTAAAGCAACTATGTGATTGTTAACATTCCCCGGTAAAAGGCAACAACCACCAATTTTGGTTATTCACAGTAACATATATATATAACAATACTTAAAAAGAAATGAAAACACAACCTGTTTTGCAACATAATCATCTCATTCCAATCAGATGGATACACTGACTTGCTCACTAAATCTCGAAATACTAACAAAATTTCCATAATAAAATCAAGGAGATCCGTTTTAGTAAGGAAACTATTTATATATTGAGTGTAATGGTATGGTGTCATTTGCCTAAGAACAGATATCATTATGGCCACCACATTTCCCTGAAACAGATACAAAAATGAGCATTAAGTTAGATGTAAACAAAGATAAATTTATATTATTACTATGATTACAGACACCTAGGACAATGTAGGATTTAGGATCAATATAGGATCAATATATCAATATATACCTAGACACCTAGGATCAATATATTTTTTGCATCAAAAGGAAAATATTTTAAATTTTTTAGAATAAAAAATTGTTTACTTAAATTTCTACATAAGCTTCCTTTTTTTGAGTTATCTCTATTCAAACTAGCATTTATGCCAGATTACGTAGCTACATTTGTGTACTGAGCTATAGCTATAATTGTAAACATATAATTTCCATTTTTTTTCCTACACGTAATTTAATACCAAATATTAGCTAAATATTTTTATTTTAAAATTAATTTTTAAGATATTAAATAACTGTCCTTGTAAAAATACTAGAAAATTTTAAACATTTTGAAAAACTCATCTTAACTGCACCATACAGATAATTTACATGTATTTAAGTGGGTGAAAATAAATTTCATAAACAATAAAAAAAAAGTTGTACAATTTTTTTTTTCCTGAGGACACTTCTCTTACCATAATAAATATTATATTTTTTTTAAAAAATAACTACTTCGCAAGAAAATAAAAAAGATTGTTTTATTAATAAAAAAATACTTACTACTAAGGAATTATCCCGGCTCAAATGGACAACACATTGAATAATAGTTCTTAAAACTGACAACATTATCTCAGATATATCGTTGTGTGTAGCACCACCAGTACGACTATAAAGTAAGATCATTATATCACTCATAATCTTAGCAGAAAGGTCCAATTCATCTTTACGCTTTTCAAGAAGAGTTTTGATTTGCTTGCAAATCATGGGTAACAAAATAATACGACACTCTAAAAGATAATAAAAATAATTAAATAATCAATGTAAGGAAATATAATGACATATACTACTACACTCAGAAGACATCAGTAAATTAAGGAAAAAAAATTCTGAGTATTACGAAATTCGACAATATTTGAAAACAAAACATTTAATAAAGTAATTAATTCTTAATGTAAAACAGTGGCAATTTTGTCATTTCACTTTATTTATAAAAGCAGACTATTTTTAACAAAAACAGACGAAATTCCACATCAGGCAAAACATGAAAATGATACCACACTTTTGAGAAATCAGAATTCATTCATTTAAAATTATTGTATATTAAGTAAATAAACATAGCAGACAAACAGAAAAACATTTTGTTTTTAAAAAATGCATGATTCTAAATTATAAAACAATAATTTGTTGAAATAATACAGGGATAATGAAAATTGAGAATTAAAAAAAAAACCTAGCATGTCAATACTCTCAAGGCGTTTTAAGTTCCTAACTTAAACATCCAATAGACAAACTCCAGAAACAATTAAGAATAATAGAATCTTAATTATACACTAAATGATAGTCAGTCCGGAAAAAATTGATTTTTTATTTTAATCCTCTATTGCACAAGTGTAAATTACAGTTGAAAAGGGAAGTGTTAAATCCCGCAATTTGATAGGGTGTCAAAATCTTCGACAATTCTCGGTTACGGGGTAAAATTACATTTTCCCCTGACAATTCCTCATCTTTTTTTTCGATTTTCGTTTTCCCTGACAATAGCCAGTTTTTCCCAATATTTCAGGAGCGTATGAACTCTGCATAAAATTTGTTTTGCTAACATCAATTCAGAGCACACACAATGTTCTTTGATATATGAACAAATAATGGAAAAAATTGTAATTGCTTGAGGCATCAGACAGCAAAAAGGTCTTCAATGAAAGATATTTGGATCATTGTGATTTTACAGTAACTGAAAAAGTAAGTTGAACCAGGAAGAAATAAAAACACCAAAAATTTGTATACACATAATTTTAAAAAATTTATTTTAGATTACTTTTGGAAATCATAATTAAAATTCAATTTTTTTAACTATTTTAATTTTAAATTATTTGTCGGAAGAAAATTATAATTTTCTGCAACAAAAAAAGCTATTATGATGCAATTTATAAGATTTAATTATTTCATAAATATTAAAGATAAAAATCTAATGAGATCAAATTTAAAATGAAGAATTAACAAAATAATAATACCTGGTATTTGAAAAAGCTCACTATGGACTAGATCATTTACACATAACATTTTTTGTCTTGTGAGACGATCTTGAGGAACACTATTAATTAACTGAACCAGAATGTTACTAAAAAGCAAAAATAAAAATTTAAAAGTCATCAGAGAGATGTAGTTTTGGGCATAGTGATTTATTGCCCAAAAATACATTATAAGATTTAAAACTAATTACTATTTTAAAAGTAATTACTAGTTTTAAAAGCTAAGAGTTCTAGTATAAAATTAAAAATTCATAATCACTTGAATTCCCATAACTCATAATATTTCAGTATTTTAAAGATTATGTTAATAATTATAAGCAAAAAAATATGCAATAAATTACATAATTATAAAATGTAAAGAAATTTTGTTACTAAAACTTTCTTTTTAAAGTTCATAATAATTTTAAATAGTCAAAATAAAGCCTGTGTTTTCGTCAACACTCTATTACATTGACAATATGCACTTGAATTTAGAAATGAAAGCATTCAATGTAGATGTGCATTCAATATTATCTCATTCATTTCAAACCCACTAAGTTTTGAATGAGCTTAATGTTCATGTTAAAAATATAATTCCTAAAGGATGTAAAATTAAAAACTCATAACTTGAAAGATAAAATTAATCTTATTTCTCATGTAGATTCAAATCGAACAATGAACAAAAAAGATATTGCCTTGATGTATGGAATTCCCATGAATATGCTTTCAAAAGTATTAAGAGAAAGTCAAAATATTGTTGAAGGATATGAATCTATGAACCCTTAATTACCAAATAATTGCTGTTATTTTAAAGTAAAAAATGAGAACTAGTGGCAATTTGAACATCTATTAGGAAAAGCTTTTCATCAACTGAGCCAGATTCGAGTAACAGCAAATTGATTGTCTTAAAGTATCAAAATGAAAGTTTAAAAAAATGTATTCTAGTTACCTCAATTCCATTCCATCAAAGACAGTTAAAATATCAGGTATGGCAAATGGAAAATACTTTAGACAAGCACCCTGAACAAGTAATGTAGAATCTGTTACATAAAGCATCATAGCAGTAAGGGAGTGAAGCAATTCTTTCAGAGAAAGCTCAAACTGTTCCCTTCCTTTGTCTTCATTCAAACTGAAACATCATTCTTATTAGCATAAAATAAAAGCGCATTTAAAAACTAGAAAAAAATAATAACTTAAGCAACAACTTTGCTAGTAACATAGAATAAAATTTTACAATTGGAAACATAAGGAAATATGAATAAAATAAGAATATTTTGAAATAGATTTTTGCAACTAAATAAAGCTAAATGTAATACTGTAATATTAAAATAGAATTTTTCGTTTAACTTAATTGAAATTTTAAACTTTAAAAAAAATTGCATTTAATATCTTCATATAGTGATTAGAATCCCTTATCGAAATATAAAGTTTACTTCTTAAGAAATATTGATTTCTTAATGCTAGTCTATTATAAAGCTATATATTTCAAGTGAAATTAGTATGTGTTAAATCATGATCCAGTATATGAAGGATAGACATGGTATAACACTTAAAATCATCACATTATTAATATGATTGATTTTGTTACCTATACAAATAATCTTGACATTACATAATTCTAAATTTGTTTTTAAAAAAATATTTTAACAGCATCAGTAGCATTACGAATAAGGCAAACATTTCTTGATAAAACATTTTCAGAAAAAGTCTTTTCAATTTAGTTGAATATAAAAGACTTCTAATTGTAAGACCAAATTAAAAAGACCGAACAGAAAAAGAAAGATAAATTTTTATTAAAAAAATTTATAATTAAAAAAATATCATTAAAAATTACATATACAAAAGAACTGGAAAACTTACGCAGCAAATAATTGCCGAGAACGGACAATGAACTTAAAAATATATTCAACTGACTTCATTGTACGTAGCAGAATTTCCTGATTTTCTTTTAGACCAGCATTATCAACATACTGCTTCAAAACAACAATTAATTTGCTAAAACAAAAAAATGAGTTAATGATTTTTAAACATACTTAAATACATAATAATGTTAAAAACATTTAACATAATAAATAACAAATAACGTTTAAAAAAATGTGCAAATATTCAAAATCAGATCAATATATTTCATAATAATTTTATCTGATATCTGATTCACCCCATAAAATATTATCCATATTTTTAAGATAAATATAAACATAATAAAAATAACTCGATAGTAATAAAATCAAAACTTTCATATACTTAGTAATGATAAAACTGTTTACAACATACTATTTATTGCATTTTAGTTTATTTATTTTATTTTATTTTATTTCATTTATTTTATTTTTATTTTATATTTTTGTTATTTTTTTATTTCATTTTATTTCAGTTCATTTTATTTTATTTATTTTACTTTTATATTTTTGTTATTTTTTTATTTCATTCTATTTTAGTTTATTTATTAATTTATTTATTAAACTTCAGTTAGATTTTTCAAATTGACTGAATATTAAGTTAAGGATTCATTAAAATCCGAACAAGAATAAAACATCACATCAGTAGACATCATTATTTGAGAGGAAGATGTCAAATTATAAAAAATTATAGTTTTCTTATCTTTGAAAAAGAGATATTGCCTTTGGTTAGAAATTTGTTTTTCAACAAAATTTGTTTAGAAAATGATCTATGAACCAAGTGCATACAAAATACACCATTTCGAAGTTAAAAATAAGAGGTCAAATAACACACTACTAACTTGTATAGCAGAAAATATATAAATCATAAAATCCTTTAGAAGAGTGAATAACCAAACTAAGAGAAGATATATATAGAATTTTGAACTAGGCAACAAAATAACTAACGATTGTTAGACAAATGCATTTAAAATGAAATCTGTTTAATACTTCACAAATCTAATTATATCTAAATCATAGTAGTGTTATTGATGATCACTCACTCTACCGTTGCCACCAAATTTGCTTCGATTTATTGAATTTAAATACAGTAGAATTTGAATTTAACATAGCCCACAAATGACAATTTCATGCTTCTTGTGTCTTTTCAGCTTAATACCTTTTCATTCCCTACACCAATATTGTAAAAAAATTCTGGTATTTAGTGTACTATTTCCCTAATTACCAATTATCTAACACTATTTCCCTGAATGACTAATGTATCGGAAAAAGCATAGAAAAGGTAGTTTTTCTGCTGTCCAGTCCCTGGAAAATACAGATAGCTTTTCAGAACAGAAAGCTATGTGAGAAAAATTTGATGACTTGTGAATCATAGGCTATTTCAGTAAATTGAATTAGGAAATCTAGTAGTATTTTAGCAAGTGATTAACTATGAATTTTCAGATCTACCACCAACATTTAATAAAGCAGCACTGCAAAGACTGAAAATTTTCTACCAAGGGCATGAAGAACAAAAAAAATGGATGCCTAGGAATTGTTGTAAAATTCATTATGTAAATCAAGACAAAAAAAAGGTACATAAACAAAAATGTTGAGTTTGTTTTCCATTAAAATAATGTAAGATTTTCTTCTTTAGTTTCAGATTAGTTAAGATTGCATTTAGGTATTAAAATATAATTAAATTTCTCTAATTTAATTTTTAGTTTTCATGGAAATTTTTATAACCCTGATATAGCGAAGTACTGTTATTTATGTCATTTTTGTTTAGCTTGATGGGCATCGAAAAAATCAAAGTTTTACTACATATCTTACAAGAACAAAATATTTTAAACTAAAAATGTATTTTGTTATGAAAAAAAAATTGGATTTTCTGGGTGCATGACAGTTTCTAGACAAAAATCATGGGAGTTTTCAGTCTGTGACATATTTAAAAGCCAACACTAGATGAGATGCATTTAAGCATGACTCAAAGGGCTGCCAATTTAGATAGAGTTTAGATAGAGCACCAATTTTAGTGTTTAATAAGACTTATAAATACAAAGTGAAACATGCTTAAAAATTAATTGAAATTAAAAATCATAAATTATTTATAAAATAAATGTCCAAGAATGCTTGCACACAAAAATAATCAAATAATAATTTTCCTTCATTAAAACTGCTTTAATACATTAGCAAATTATATTAAAATAAAGCACAATTTTTTTCTCAATTTTATGATTTCATCCAACCTATTATTAATAAACTCTCTTGAGCCGACATCTAAGAATGTTATGTATTTTACAAACAAACAAAGTATTAATGCTGAAGAAAATAATTTCATAATAATTAAAAAGAAATACATAGCAAATTTGAATTGTTTTGATTGCTTACTTGTAAGTTAAAGTTGCACTAAAATTTTCTTTAATGTATAAATCTAAGATTGGTCTGAAGTGATGATATTTTCGATCAGATACCAAACCAATAATAAATATCTGTAAAACAAATAAACGTAAACATTTATTAGATAATTATCACAGATAGATCAGTTTAACGGATTAATAAATTATAGACAGTTCATCAAAGTTTTATTCTTCCCAGTTTAATTTATACTAATTTTAAAAATAAAGTAATAAAAAACATGCAGGCTACTTCATAACTATGGGAGCAAACTTCGTGAAGGAATAACACACAGTATTGGTAATGAAACCAGCAAGTCAATTATAAGTGCAATCATATCCTCAACTTTCACCAAAAATTGCTCGAAAATACTTGTGTGATATAAATATCAAAATTGCCTGGAATATCAGTAACTGTTTGTCCCAACTGAGATTATAACTTAATAAAGAGCAATCACATACGGGCCAATCAGTTTGCTTGTATTTCATGATGTTTCAATTCTTTGTGATGAAGTTGACAATTGAAAATAAGCATAGTGACAATGAAGATAGGGAGAATGATCTCACGTGAATTTTGATCAATGAAACAGATCCGTTTTGGGATGCTAAAATATAATAACCATTTTTTTCTTTTTTAAATTCTAGCATTAAAAGTACTTTTATATTATGAGTCAGTAAACTCAATGTATTTGATGAACTGTACCACCAACCTACAGATCATTTTAATGGCCATAAGTGCAATAAACTATTTTGCAGTTAAATTTTCCATAAAAGAATATTTGTTAGTTTTCAACAAATAAAATTGTTTCATTAGAAGTTTTGATTTCTTCAGGTAGAAATAATTTCTGTTTTTATGTAGTTAAAAATGTTACTTTCTCACGAGAATTTCCATAAAAAATATTTGCCAAGAAACATACCAAATTTTAATGCATCATTTTAGCATATAAAATATTACATACAGATTTTATTATTTTTATTTTAAAATTTTAATCTTTCTTTTTAATTTTTATTTCTGCCAATATTAAAAGTAAGTTATCTGTTGATTGTAAAAACAAACTTTTATTTCCTTAATTTTTGAAATAATTATTTTATTTTTGTCTAAGAGTTCTTTTAATTTTTGAAAAGCTTATCATGAAACGATGGAAGTAGTAAAACTTCATGTGTGACAAATAATCAGTTTGCCTGCCACAAACATACTCCATTTTATGGTAAATATTCAAAAGTTAATACACTTTATTAGGAGTAATTTTTAATAAATACAAATTCCACAATCTTTACTTTCCCATTGCTTTCTCTTTTTTTTCTTGTTTGTTTCTACATATTCTGCTTTTTTTTCCTTAGTTATTTTTCGTTCTTTCTTTCTTTTTCTGGCATATATTATTTGGCATAATATTTTGCCTAGAATCATTCAAAGTTAACATAACAAACTTCTGGTATGTTAGGTGAATAATGTGAAGTGACTAGTCAAGAGAGGTCGTTATATTGAGCGTCGACTGTATGAAACTGTTTTATCAAAATTTAATTAATTTAATAGTTTCATTGCGTCAAGTCAGGCACCAACTCATTAAATTTCGAAGTCTATTTAAACATAGTTATTTACACACATGTAATTAAGATAGTTTAGTTTAAAAGAATTGGTTCAAATGCACACTAACAGATAGGGGACAGTACTCCCAGCCTAGCACCGTACAATGACATTTTAGGTCAAGTGTTACCATAAAGTTCTAACCAAAATCCCTAGAAGTTTGCTTCTCTAGTTTTGAATCAACCTATAAAAAACATACAGATACTTTTCTTAGAATACCCTCACACTCATAAAGATCTTCAAAATAAATAGAAATAATATAATGCACAGTTCTTTGTTTAGTCCATAGTTCATTTTCTAATAGCAAATACTATTCCAAAAAGCGAACGATTATTTTCTAAATCTTAAAAATAATTCAAAATTATGTCCAGAAAGCATTTTATCAAGATAATGAGGACTATTTATCTAAAATAAAATATAAATACTTACTAGAGCTTCAAAAACTAAATTGTCATACAATTCTGAGTCTGAATTCTGCATTAGAATGTTGAATAAAGCATCCAAAGTATCTTGTAAGAACTGAAATACAAATGATTCAGTGTTAATTAATGATTAAATACTATATAACTCAAAAGTAGAAATTCAGTTTTACAAAAAACAATTATGATAGTAAATGCATCCAGGTAAAATTTGATTTTAAAAAAAAGAAATTATTATTATTCTTTTAATTAAAAATCTTAAGAATACCAAACAAAAAGTTATAATGACAATACACAAGAAATATTAAAAATAAACTCAATTTATAAAGTAAACTAAAATATAGATCATATTGGTATTAACCTACTATCTTTAGGGGGGGAAAAAGACGCATCCAGAGTGCAAAAATAATAATAATATGTAAAAAAGCTAACATCCAAAATAAGATCATACCTAATGAACAGACTTTCACATAATTGGACTCATTCTTAATAGTTTAAGGGCTGAACTTTAAATATGATATTTTAAGATACTAAATTAGACACAAAACCCTACTTTCTGTAAATAAACATACATTATTTTGTCAGTTTTAGATTCATAACCCAAAACCTTCAAAATATGAGGGGCTCTAAGCTGGAAAATATGGCCTAGTTAAGCCATAAGTACAGTTCAAGCAAGAAAGTAGTCGAAAGTTTGAGCCTCTTAATGTTAATTTCACTTTCTATATATTTCCCCTATCTCAATCATACTTTTACATTTTTATTCCACAACTGTTTCACAGATTTCCCACAAATTTCGGATTTTGTTATTTAAAATTAGATAGATTAAATTCATTGATATAAAAATTTGTATTTAAGAAGAGTCAATTTTTTTTAATATAAGTAAATTAAAAAATAAATAAAAAATTATAAAGAAATGTCAAAAAAAATTTTTTACATGGAATTATTTTTAGATAAACAATTTTATATGCTGTGCAAAATGTTTTTGATTCCTTTCATAGCAACAAAGATATAGCGAAAGGTGCAAGAAGGTTAAATTAATATTAAGGAGACTAAGTATTCGACTTCTCTCCTGCTAAAACTAATACCATGGCTATATCTGAATGCCAATAATCCAAATCCCTCGAAAAAATTTATGAATACACAGAGACAATACGTTGAGCCATTTCACAACTTAAAATATCATTAACATCAATTAATTAGCATATTTAAGGTAAAACCTCTGAACCACATTAATATTAAACTAAGTTTTCTATAAAATACTAATAAACTTATTTTTCTATAAAATAACAAATGCTAATATAAAACCATTTTTGAAGCAAACTTATTTAAAATTCATTTATTTTTATTAAATAGAGCAAAGCATCTTATGCTCTTGAAGTTAAGCCCCGTAATAATTTTAGAGGGTTCGTGCCAGAAATGTTGTTTCTATCTTAATTAAGCCTACTTTACTGACATTGGAAAAAAATTGAATAATTTAAGCAGAATTGTTAAACGAACAATCTAATAATAAAAGCATGACAGTTAATAACCCAAAAGAGACCCCACTAGAATGCAGAGCTTGCCATTCTACACAAATTCTGAATTCCCAGCAGAAAAAACATTTGATTGTTTATATTATAGATGAAAAATTAAAATGTGATTTTTATAGAATAGTTTCAATAATGTATAAGTAATTTCAATTTAAGAAAAAAAATTTAATTAAAAGTGTATCAAAATCTAAGGCAATAGTGCAAGTGAAGTTGAAAATAAAATATATTTATACCTATTTGTCAAAAAAGACACTTATTATCCAGTCATATTAAAATGAAATATAAGTAGTATACAACATTATTTGAAAATAAAACCTTGATTTTTAGAATTCGATGCAAATTGGTTCAAATAGAATCGAAGATCTTTAAGATGCAAACCTTGAAAGCTGGGGCTTTGCATTTTATAGAATTTTGTATTATATAGATTGTTTCACTTATCTTTAAACTTACATAGTGAATGAAGAAAAATTTGTCTAAAACAAATCAATCTTAAAATGCCTTAAAATAATTTTAACATACAAATATTTAAAAACACAAAATATGTACTTGAGTATTCATAATTCACAGAAATAAATTGAAATTTTCTGCAACATTAGAACCAGAAACAAGCAAATTAATCAATTTTGTTTTGCTCAGCTTTTGAAATTTTACCCTCTAATCAAATAATTAAAAAATAAATAATGTAAAAAAATTTATAGTTCCTGCTTAGTTATAACAATTTCTTAACTGAAAATTTTATTATTTACTCACACAAAGGTAGTACGGTGTACTGAGAATTGTGTTCTGTAGATCTTCCACACTTATATTCAATGAATATAACATTTTAAACAAGAATAAATAAATGAATAAACAGAAAGAATATCTAAGCATATGCCTTAATATTAGAGAGCTGTAACATATTCCTTCGATTTAAAAAAAAAATTTACTTATATGACATAGGAGAGATTTCAGATCAGCAAAATAAATCAAATCTAAAATTAAGTTGCGTGAATTACTCTATCAATTAAAATTTAGTTATTAACAGACTACAGATAACATTTGTTAAAAAAAAAGAAGATAATACAAGATAAAAGATATTAAAGAAGTTTTCAAAATAACCAATCAATTTAAGTGTTGTGAAGGCGTACTTAGTTAAAATAATTTTTTAAAACTTGTTATAAAAATAGAGTGTTATAAAAATAGAGAGTTAAAATAGACAATAAGAAATAGTAAAAATGTTTAACCATTATAATTTGGTATTAGAACATAATTCTTTGATAACAGAGAGTGCTAAATAACAAAACTTGAAATTACTGAGCAAGCAAAAACAAGAGTATAATAGTTTATGCAATTAGTCTACTACATTTATTTTATAAATAGCATAAGGCAAAATTAACTTTTTTTAATCAATTGTAAAAAGGAAACATTAAAAAAATTAAGAATTATTTTCCAAAAAAAAAAAAAAAGAATATGGTGTTTAATATTCAAATAAGTCGGTATTAAAATTTAATAAATTTTTTATTGAAGTTGAAAAGAATATATAAATAAAACTTAGTTAATGAGAAGTATAAAGCTTAACATTTTACTTTTACAACTTCTTCCCCATCCACTTTCATAAGTGACACAAGATTACTTTCAAGATTCTCTGGATTAGACCACCATTTTAAAAGTCCCAACAGATCCACTGCAAAGAAAATTATGCGTAAAAGTTATGGCATATATTTAAGGAAAAACAAAAAAACACAATTTTGATAAATAGAAACACCATAGCTTTGATTTTTTTCTTTTCTAAAAACATTCATAAATGTATTTCATTCATTGATCTGGATTTCTGGGAGAAACTTTACATCATTAAAAACAAATATTCTACTGTTAATGTTCAAATATTCTGCTGTTCCATATTTTTTAAATATTTAGAAAACATGAATTTTTTATTTTTACTATTAATTTAATGTTGTTACTTTTTAAATGTATATTTATTTCAACGAGTGTGATAATGAATTGTATTACTTCAATTAGTATAATAAGGAAATTATATATTAATAATGACAGTCTCCATTTAATATCAATTCACCTTCATCCTTTTTCTGTTTTAAAAACATGATCCATTTCTTATTCTCTCAACAAATTGTAATCAAAGTTTTCCGTTTTTGGTAAGGATTGCTGTTCTAATTAATTCACACCCCAAAATTAGAAAGTTACATAGCATTACATACATTAGAGTCATGTCAATAGATAATCAAACCAAACAAAGATTATTTTGAAGGCCCTCGCTGGAAATCATTTTTGAAAAGATCATTTTAATATGTATGAAATGTAACAATTTTTAATTAAGATATTTTTGAACATTATAAATGTTCCTACTTTGCCTCCATTACAATAAAACAAAATAGGCAAAATTTCTTGTTATTCAGTTATTGTTTTATACTGAACAAAAAGCTTGATTTAGCTATTAATTATTTCTTCGTGATTCACCAAATTATAAAAAGTGCTCGGCTAATAAGCAAATAGTCAAATTTTCATTTTATGAGGTAGGTAAGTTAATTGTTAACCGAGCTTAAAGTAAAAACATAAGTGACTTCTTAATAAAAGCCAGTTCTTTGCTCTGAATATAAACAAAAACTGTTTCTGAAGCATGTGAAGAGGTTTTCTCTCCCTCATAAATACAAAAAGCAAAGCTCGTTACGTAATAGAACTGGCTGAACCACTTTCCCTGCTTTGGAGATCATCTCACTGATGAAGTCTGTTATGAGGAAAACAAACTTTCATAATAAAAGTCAAGATGCTCTGCCCTATTCATGTTGAGTATTACTAAATATAGGATATAACTTAATCAGAGATGAGAGTAGTCAGAAACTAAAAAAGAGGAAATTCAAGAATATATATATAAACAAAAATTTGACAAAGAAAGTGCGATTTTTAAACGTGTAAACCATGTGANCATAATACAGTCATGCTGAACCTTATTATACAAACACTTCCATTTATTGTCAGTATAGAGTATTATCCTAAAAATCTACTCCTAATATCAGAGATGAGAGTAGTCAAAAAGTAAAAAAGAGGAAATTCAAGAATATATATATAAACAAAAATTTGACAAAGAAAGTGCGATTTTTAAACATGTAAACCATGTGATTATAAATCCCGATATGAGGCTTTTAAATCACGTGAATATGAAACTCTACATCGAATTTAAAAAATGCGAAAATACGAATTATGATGTGTAATTTTTACATCAAGAAGCATAATTTTAAAATCGCGCGATATTACAACGGCAAAAATGAATCACGACATTGGATTTTAAGCTCGTCTAGCTACATAGGGTTTTAAAAGCCTGTAAATACAAATCGCGATATTGGTTTTTTAAATCTCATAAATAAGAATCGCAATGCACAATATTTAAATGGCCTGAATAAGAATCGCAACGTTCAACTTTTAAATCAGGTAAATACGAAAATCGATGTTTGATAATAAAATCGCGATTTTAAAAATGCAAAAATACAAAACACGATATTAGATTTTTAAATCTCGTAAATACGAGTCATAATGTACGATATTTAAAAAGCGTAAATAAGAATTGCAATGCGCAACTTTTAAATCAGGTAAATACGAAAATCGATGCTTAATAATAAAATCGCGAATTTAAAAATTCAAAACACGATATTAGATTTTTAAATCTTGTAAATACGAGTCATAATGCACGATATTTAAAAAGCGTAAGTAAGAATTGCAATGCGCAACTTTTAAATCAGGTAAATAAGAAAATCGATGATTGACATTAAAATCGCGTAAATAAAAATCGAGATATTTGCAGAGTCTGGACTTGAGATTTCTAAAAGGCTTGCTTGAATTGTTTTTTGTTTACACAATAAATAAAAATTTACAAGATTAATTGAATGAGCAAATAAATATTTTCACCGCAAATTCACCTCTATTTTTTTTTGTTTGCTTTCACTCCAGAATACAAGAAGCGCCGACGTCTAAATTACGAAAATACGAGCTATCCCACCGACGAATAAAAAATACGGGAAATCTTATTTTCTGTGCCTGAAATCGGAGAAAATAGCTAATATAAGTAGACATGCGGAAGGGTTAGCAGCTAGGACGTAGTTTGAATTTTCTGTTTTTCGTTGAAAATCGTAAATAAATATAATTATTTGACTTCATCGACTGAATTTAAAAAAAAAAAAAACGGGATATTTATTAATAAATAAAAATTTAAAAAAACTAAACTTTTAGAGAATCTGAGTTTTCGATAAAAAGGCTGAAATTAGAGAGACAAAAGCAAAAAGAATCTCATTCCTGTATAAAGGTCAATCAGTTTTATCCCAAGGAAATGATTTTTATAGAAACTTCAGCGGAAGGAATGAGGACTTCAATAATTTCGCTCCGAGGAAAATTAAATTCCTCATAAAATATTTTAACTTGTGCAAAAAGAAATTTCAGCGGAAATTAGCGGGAAAAATGGAAAAATCTGAGAAAAAGCGGAAATCCGCGGAAGAATCGCATCCCTGTAATACATAAATATGGTACTAATTTTTACAAAAGCATACCTGACAACATTAGAGAAATAAAATAACGTAGATTTTACTAGCGACATTTTTTAGGCTACGAGTGTACAGTTTTGATACATCATACATAATTATGTAAGTCAAAAAGAGAAATTCAAAATTGGAAATAATATAAGCACTTACATTTAGCGAAGTAAAAAATATGCATATAAATCTTAAACTAAAGATTTTTAAACGATGATCAGGGTATCTGCTACATTTTAGATTTTCAAATCCATGAATAATTCCAAGAATTTTTCATGACTGAACGAAGACTTATTTTCTCCAACAAAAACACAACAATAAATTTAAAAAAGCATTATAATAACATTAATTGTAATGATAGATATAACAAAAACTGTTATACTCTGCCTCTTCATATTTATACATTTTAAATTTGAAAAACAGAGGAAAGAAAGAGTTGAAGCAATAAAATAGCTGAAAAAAATACAAAAGCAAATATTTATTTTCTGCAGAATTATATTCCAAAGATATTTTTATTGTTCATCGGAAAGGATAGAAATACTCCTGATTTTTCAGTTCTCATTTCGGAATTAAAAAAAAATTCACCAATGAACGGCTTCCTTCAGACAGAATTTTAAATTGATAAAATAAAAATTTTAAAATCATAGAAATTTAAAAGATAATTCGTTCCAGAAATTATTGTTTTTTCTTTCATTTTTTGAAAGAACATCATAATTTTTTAAGAACATGATAAAAACATTTTAGATTTTAATAAAGTATGACTGTTAGTAGGCATTTTGTTAGAAATTCAGATATTCGGTACACCATGAAATTGGGGGGGATTCCATTTTTAAAATGAGATTTTTTGGTGACCTAAATCTATGACTTTCCATGATTTTTTTTAAAAAAATAGTTAAAATCATGACATTTCATGACAAATTTTGTTCAATACCGAAATTCATGACTTTTCCAGGTGCACAGATACCCGGTATATATATGATTTATAATTACTTAAACTTTTTTATATTTCACAACCATTGTTGAACAGCCCACCTAATTTTTGGCTTCATGACTACTAATGTTCCAACTTCATAACCTTGTAATTTTGAACCTAATTCAGAAGACAGGGAAACCCCTGGATCAAATATTGGAATAAATTTGCCTTTGTGGAGGATTTTTTGATGAAACTAACCCACATTTTTGTTACATGGAGATAAAAACTATGAAAACCTCCCATAGTTAGCCTGATGGCAAGGGGACTCTAACCCATGTTCCGCCTACCACTGAGGATATTTATGTCAGCACTGTGGTGCAGAATTTATATCGCAAAGCCATCGCGGGGATTTGAACCCGGGGAATCTCATTCGAAGGCGAACGCTCTATCCCCTGAGTCATCAGAACTCCTACTTAAACTATTAACACTCAACATACTGCAGTACTAGCAGTAGCACTATTTGTTAAGGAATAAGAGAAGTATTTTTGACATCAGATAATTTATCACCAAAATGTTATTTTTCTAAAAAATACCAAATAGTTACCAAATATTTTAACTTTCTTGTTAGAAGCAAATCATGCTTTCTTATTTAGTACTCAGGGAAAAAAAATTAAGTATTTCTGAAGAAAAAAAAAAACAACAACAACAACTTGGTTTTCATCAAGAACTTAACAAATCCCAGGTTTTTGATGACCTAATTTTACCATACTCAGTATTCCATGCCTCTTCATTTTTTTCTTCTGAAGTTTTGTTTTTAATCATTTCCTTTAGAAATTAAATTATATGCAACAGTTATTTTCACAATATTTAGAGTAACTGAACATTTTCTCAAACTTTCTGTTCCCTATTTTAATCAGGCCTAGTTCTCAATTATTTTTAACTCATTAATCTTTCCATTGCTTTCACTAATCTGCAAATCAAGATCATTTCCCCTTTTTTCTAGTTTCTTCCCTTTTCTTTTGTCACTAGTTTTAGACTTTTTTTAAGCTTATCTTCTTTTAATAGGTTAATGACTTTTTCACAAGTAAATTTATATCTGGCTGAAGCACTTAGTTAGTTTGAACTCGTACAACCTTGATTCATCCATAATATTAGAGCTTTTATTCAAGTTAAAGTGATTTAAGCACTATTTTATATAAAATTTCCATTCTTTAGGAACAGCAGCAAAATTTGAAGGATGGTGAAATTTTAGGGACAGGGTGCGTAGCCAAATGTTTGAATCAAAAATAAGCACTTTTTAAAAACTTTTCAAGCACTTAACAAAAGTTTTCAAGCACTCAAAAAATTCATATTCAATCAATGATATTATTGAAAAACAAAAACTTTTCATAAACAGTTTTAGCGTTAAAAAAAACCAAAAAGAAACGGGCGTAAATCGAAACAATCAGTACTTTCCCACATCACCGAGTGAATTCAACTTGACCCTGAACTCAGAACAAAAGTACCCTTACCCCCTACGTCAAAAAAAGTGTTAGAAGTAAAATAAAATAAACAAGAACAAAATTAAAATAAATTAAAAAGAAAAACATTTCATAAGGATCTGATATT